TATTTTTTTTTTTTTTTTTTTTTTTTTAGTCATTTAAAATGCTGCATCGACATCAATATTATTATATTGTTTGTCACTTTAATTAAGTAATATTGCGTACTCCGATTTCAGTTTCGAACTGTGTTTCAAGAGCAACGGATAATTAGCGCGCAGTTTACATGAAAATTATGAAATTCACACAAAAACATTATTAGGCATTCGCTTCAATCAAATAAAGCCTTCATTTTTTCCCTTATTTGTGTTATTTAAGTAACAAGATTAATTAAAAAGCCGATATTTTAATTTCAAACTTTAAATGCCAATAAAAGCTAATAAAATGTAAAATGAATTTCATGTTTAAAATATCCTAGAATATTTTAAACTAATCTATATATCACATGTTTCTAAAGAATAGATAAAATTTTTAACACGCGATCGACAATGTTTCGGTTGTTAAATCATTGATAGACTTAATTCACTTAACATAGTTTGATTTAGTGATTGATTAGCCTGATTATAACGTAGATTTTATCGCGAAAGCTTATTGGTTAGAAAAAATAGACGCAACGAGAATATCGCGCACGAAGATATCGATCCTTGCTCCGAACCACCTTTGCAGTCACTTTACTTCATGATTAATCTAGCAATTGCTATCCTTAATTTAAGAACTGGAGTCTGTAATAATATTATTCCTTACGTTCGTCGCATGGATCGATCGAAAGTATTATTGCCATATTGATTTCAACAAATAGTCGGAATATAGAACGTTGGAAAAAGGAAGATATTGATCCCGATATGCGTCTCATGACTTCAATTCTCATTTCCAATCAATCTTTTAATAGATACACTAATCAATGTATTTTGTTTACCAAAATAGATTAATTCAGAAAGAATTAACGATATTACTCCAAAATTGCGTTACGCGTTAAATTGTTAACCATTTATCGTTCACATTTGTCAAAAAAATTCCTATATAAAAGAGAGCTTTTAAAAGCTGTTAATGTAATTTCGCAAAATTACAGTGGTCGTTTCGAAATAACTGTATTTCATCAACGTTTTGCAATGGATGTACCTATCTTTTTTTTTTATCGAGACAATATAATTTCACAAAATTAATACGCGTAAGTTGAGTAATTACAAGCGCATGCGAGGCCGCTATAAACCCGCGTGCACGCCGAATACGATTATACCATAAATAATAT